GGCTGCGAGTATGGTTCTGGTGCTGCACCACATCCTCATCGCTGTTGTCCAATTCCTCAGGCGGGGTCAGCAGGTCTTCCTCAAGCCGGACGAGCAGCCGCCGCCGCCGCAGCCATGCGCCGACAGCCTGCAGGTAGGGGGGGCCCCCCCGCGCTGGGCACGAGGAGCCGGGTGTCCGGCGAGCGCCGGACCGAGTCCTCCGCGGAGTGTGCAGTCGCTGGCTCCATGATCCACCCTCCTACAGCCCGGGACACCCAAGCCCTTGAACCATCGTCAGGGAGGGGACCCCTCCCCTAGTTCTTAACCCTGCTCTTGTGTTGGGACTGCAGCCCGCACCCGGGGCCCTTGAGCCCCCAGCTCACAGTGCAGACCCCAGTCCAGACTCTGAACCCCTTTCAGACTGGGGACTCCACCTCAAGCGCTGAACTCCCCATCTACCCTGAGAGCTCTGTTGAAGTCTGGAATCCCTCCCCCCAGTTAGTGACAGGACCCCTGCTCAAGGCCCTGAACCCCTGCTATATATATTAGGCGTCAAGCAACCCAGAATACCTGAACCCCCAGCTCTCACCAGGGGCCTCACCTCAGAGCTGGGACCTCACCGCAAGTCCCTGAACCCCCACTCCACAGCCTCGACTACATCCCCCAATTAGATCCCCCCTCAAACATCTTGACCTTCGGTCCTCACCTGGGACCCTGCTAGACGGTCTAAACCCTTCTACCCATCAGAGTTTCTCTCTCTTGCCCTGTGGGACTCCCCCTCTGGTTCCATGTTGCCCTTCTTCGCTCCTCTAACCAAGAGGCTCCCTAATCTCTTCCTTCCGGTCTCACCCCCTTTTCTTGTTTCTCTCTTGGTGTGGTGATTCCACTGTATCCTCTGGGTTTCTTGTCTAATGTCTACCTGAGTCTTTCTAGGCTCACTCTCTCTTTCCCCTCTGTTTTTCTCAGTCTCTTGCTTTATATGCCCCTCTCTGTTTCTTGGTCTCTCTCCCAAATTTCTCTAGGTTTCTATCTCTGTTCTGCTGTTTCTTTCTGTGGTCACCCCTTCCCCTTATGTCTGCCTCTGCTCTCAGGTGAGGAGGGGGCAGACTCAGAGGGCCAGGCTGGTGCCCCCAGCATCTCTACCCCTCCCCACGTCCTCAGACGTGGCACGATGTGGGTTCAGGTGAAAGGGACTAAACGTGGAATGCACAGCCCTCGGGCGGTGCGCAGGGATCTGAAGTGGGTGGGGCTCACACGGTGGGGGTACTGGGATTCATGACTAATAAACCCCCTCATCCTCTGCCCTGGTCTTGACTCGGAAACAGTTTTGGGGTTTGGGTTGGGGGAGGGGAGGAATGGACTGTGACCTGGTGTCAGTCACCTGTGGTGGGAGGTGTCCTTGGCTGGGTGAGTTTGGGTGTATATGTTTGTGTGAGTGTTTCTGTGTGTGTAGGATGGTCTGCAGGTGTTCGGTGTACTCTGCGTGTGATCATGTGTATAGTGTCATGTATGCTTGGGTGTGTCATCATGAGTGGGGATTATTTTGGGGGATTAGTGAAGGGATTATGGGGAATGTGAGAATTGTGAATGTATGGTATTAAGTGGTGCATGTGGCTAGGGAGGCAGCATTGTGAGTGTGGAGTGAGAGCTGTATGTGTGATTGTTGTGTGTGTAGGGAACTTGTGTGTGTGTGATTATATTCCTGTTGTGGGGTAGAGTTGTAGGAGTAGCTTGCATGGGGGATAGTGTGTGGTTGTACATGTTATTGGCTGTTACGTGTAGCCAGGAAGAGCCACTGTCAGGGTCTAATGGGTTGCACTGCAGGTCTTGGGAGAGAGGAGTAGGCGGGTTGTGTGTGCCCTAGTGTGTTTGCAGCCGAGGTAACGGTGTTAGGGCACTGTGGTGCATCCTGGGTTTGCTTGGGGAATGTGTTAGAACCTGTGTGTTGGTGTTTGAGTGTTATGTGTCTTTGTGGTGACTGTGTGTGGAACTCTGGGCAGGAAAATGTGCAACTAGGGTTAAGGAGGGCCGAGGCAAGGAGCTGGTCAGCCAAGTATATGTGTATATGTGTGTGCGGAGGCAGCGGGCAGGCAGAGTTGTCTATGCTGAGCAGCTGTGTGTGACCGAAATTGTGCAACGTTTTGGTGTGACGCGAGATGTGCATATTATCTATGCAGGGTGTATCTGCACATGTCTCTATGTCTGGGTGGTATGTGTGTTGAATTTAATTGGATGCATGTGTCTGTGGCCAAGGAGGTGAGCGTGAGGTGTGTGAGGTGCATGGTGGGAGGTTGAATGTAAGTGACGGGAAGTACAGGTGTGTGAGCTATGTGACTTTTCGATGTGAGGTGTGGATTATGTGATCTTTTCTCCATGTGAACTGTTTATATGTGTGTTGAGAAGTGTGTGTGAGAGGTGTCCAGTGAGCTAGGGGTGGGTGTGGATGTGTCAGGGGTAGGGGGTCAGGTGGTAGTGAGGGCTGTGGAATGTGCTGCATGGGGTAAGGGAGTGTGTGCATTAGGCATGTGAGGTGAGGATGAGGTTTGTTATGTTTGGGGTGTGTGGAATACAGCAGGTGCCCCATAAATGTTTGTGGAGTGACGTGTGTGTGCAGGGAGGGCTTGGCTGCCATCCTGTCCTTGCTTCCCTCCCAATTAGGTCCCCAGAGAAGCCCAGTGACATTCTCACATGGCTCCCCCAAGCCCGGGCTGCCCCTACCCTTTGCCCTTCATCCTCCTCGCTCTGACCAAGGCCTTTGTCTTGGGTTTCCGGTTGAGCAGGCGCTGGACAGGCGGGCGGCAGGCAATGTCGCGATCCGGGAACCTTTGTTCTTTTCCTCTTAGCTGGTCTCGTGTTTTGGGCTGGGGCTTGGGGTTGGGGGAGGATGCACATGTTGGCAAGGTCACTATGTTTACTGCTACCTCAGAGTGCCTCCCAGGGGGGTGGGGTCCAGGCGCAGGGTGGTATCCCTGGTGGTGCCTCTTGGAGCAAGAGCAGCTTGGGCTGGGCTTGGAGTTGGGTGAGTTTGCCAACCACCAGGTCTCAGTCCCACGTGTGGCCTGGCACCCTTTCCTGGCTTGCATTGTCTCAGGGGTGCTGAGCAGTTGAGCACCTGCTCACCTCTCCTCTTCCCTTCTCTGTGTGGTGGCAGAGGGTCCTTAGGCTGAGAGACAAACAGAAAGGCCCCAATCTATCTCTACTTTTGTAGACCCCACATCTCATGGAGGAGAAATAGTCCCTGTCCTCACAGAGACCATTATCTGAAAGGGGAGACATGATCACACCTTTGGGGACCCTCTTTGATGGGGAAGATCCCACTTGTTAGGAGGATCCAGTTCATACCTTCTAGAGAAAGCTACAGGAAAACCTTCCTGGGCAGCCTCCCAACAGGTATTGAGAGCGTAGTATAAAATAAGTTCAGGAATCCTTAAAGTTGGAAGGAACAGAGACAAACAGAATCAGTCAGGGGAATGGCATCAGCATCATATTCCAGAAGGTTCTCTGAAGTGAGTGGGATTGGGCTGGGCCTTGAAGGGAGTGTTGGGGTGGACAGAGAAATGTGGCCAGGGGCTGAGGAAGATTCTGGCCCAACTGGAAAAAGAAATCTTGAAGACAGCTGGCCCTTCCCCAAACAATGATATCTGTTTTAGGTGATCATCCCTGGGCCTCCAGCCTTCTCAAACTTTCACTTCATCTTTTCCCATCCCAATGTATTTGGCCGGAATCCTCGTTGTTATCATCATCATCATCATCATTATCTTTTGTGCAGCTCTTTCCAAATTCCAAGGTCATTTCACAAACAGACTGACTCATTAAATTGTCTAAAAGCATTTATTGAGCTACATCAGGTAGAGAGCCCTGGTGGTGCGTTGCTAAAGCTCTGGGCTGCTAACTGAAAGGTCGGTGGTTTGAATCTACCAGCCACTCTGTGGGAGAAAGATGTGGCAATCTGCTTCTGTAAAGATTTACAGCCTTGGAAACTCTATGGGGCAGTTCTATTCTGTCCTGCAGGGTTGCTATGAGTCGGAATCAACACGACGGGCAACAGGTTTGGTCTTTCTTTCTTTTTTTTTTTTTTTATATCAGGTAGGCACAGTTCTAAGTGCTGGGATCATAGTGGTGACCAGACAGGCCTCATGGAGCTCCCATCTTCTGTGTCTGGAAAACCTTGTCTTTCTGACGCAGCCATATTGTCAGCTCCCCGGGCCTTGGGCAGATGGCCCCTCCATTCCCTGGTTCCTCCACCCTGGTGTGTACCTGGTTTTATGTGTGCCCCTTATAGTGTTGGGGTCTGGCTCCCACCAGAATCTGAGCTTCTCAGAGCTGAGCCTGGGTCTCCTCTTTCCCCGCCCCATGTGTCCTGTGCTGGGCTTGGCATAGTCCAGATGCTCACATCTATAGTCAAATGCCCATAACTGCCCTGTAGGGTTGGCAGCCCAGTTGCCACCATCTAGGGAAACTGAGGCCAGAATGGGAAGCATACTCATCAGACCCTCCTTTTACCAGCGTTACTAGAGTCCAAGAGAGGTCAGTTGACTAGTTCAGGTCTTACAGCAAGGTGGCAGGGCTGGTACCAGTTTACAGCCCTCTTGGCTGCCAGGCCGGCCTCCAGCCCCAGCATCATGCTGCTCCCTGGCTGGCCTCCATGCTGCCTGTGGTAGGTAAACGATTATTAATGACCCCCTTGGCAAGGAGACAGGAAATGTTTCCCAGCCACAGCTGGGGACCTGCTCCCTGCCAGCCCCAGCCTTCCATACCCATCCTGGCTGTGGTGTCAGCACCGATGTTACCTTCATTCCACCTCGGCATTTTTTGCCCCTATCCACCTCCCATCTCTCTGATCCCCCAGGAATGAAGGACAAGAAGGGGCAGAGCTTTTTCTCTCACATCTCTGCCCCTCACCACTTTCTCCATCCTGACTCATCTCTACTTCCTTCCCTGCCCCAAACCAGTGAGAGGTAGCTCCTCCTTTAGGAAGCCTTCCCTGAATGCACTGCTGACCCCTCCAGTGGCCCTACCCTGGACTCTGGGCACCGGGCACTGAATCTCCCTCATTGCAGACTCTGGTCCCTCTCTGGTGGTTTGCTCTGGTGGCCCTAAGGCTGGGCTGGAGACTCCCTGGAGCCGGTCCTCAATTATTAGGATTGACACGTG